AGGGTAAAAGAGGAGAGCGCAAAAGTGGGCTTGAAGCTCAACATCAAAAAAACTAAGATCATGGCATCTGGCCCCATCACTCCTTGGCAAATAGAAGGGGAAGTCGTGGAAGTGGTGACAGACTTCACGTTCCTGGGATCTCAGATCACCGCAGACTGTGACAGCAGCCATGAAATTAAAAGATGCCTGCTCCTTGGGAAGAAAGCAATGGTAAACCTAAACAGCATGATAAAAAGTAGAGACATCACCCTGCCAACAAAAGTCCGCATGGTCAAAGCAATGGTATTCGCAGTAGTCATGTATGGCTGCGAGAGTTGGACTATAAGGAAGGCCGAGCGCCGAAGAATAGATTCTTTTGAAGTATGGTGCTGGAGAAGACTCTTGAGAGTCCCTTGGACTGCAAGAAGATCAAATCAGTCAATCCTAAAAGAAATCAACCCTGACTGTTCCCTGGAAGGCCAAATACTTTGGCCACCAAATGAGAAGGGAGCACTCACTGGAGAAGACCCTGATGCTGGGAAAGATTGAAGGTCAAAGAAGACGGGGACGGCAAAGGATGAGATGGTTAGACAGTGTCATAGATGCAATGAACATGAAATTGAGCAAACTTCAGAGGACGGCGGAAGACAGGAGGCCCTGGTGTGATGTTGTCCATGGGGTCACGAAGAGTTAGACTTGACTGTGCGACTGAACAACAAAAAGATGGCCATCTGACAGCAATGCTGATCCTGTGAACTTAGGCAGATCACCAGACAGAGGGCAGGAAGGGTTGCATCAGTGCTTAGTTCTCGCGGCCCCTTCTTACACACCCAGGGAAATGGTAATCACTACTTTGGGGTCAGAAAGCAATTTTTCTCCAGGCTAGTCTGGCCAGGGATCCTGCAGATTTTTTTGCTAACTTCTGGGCATGGAGCAAGGGTCACTGGGGGTGAGTGTGGGGGAGGTAGTTGTGGATTCCCTGCATTGTGAAGGTTGGACTAGATGACCCTGGAGGTCCCTTCCAACTCTATGATTCTATGTCCTGTATGGGAATTGTCGTCTGGCACCAAATCTGGCACCAGCAGTAGGATATTAAGGCACACACACGCCAACCCCAGATTCTGGATGAGAAAACTGAAGTACCCAGGATGGGAAGAGGACCAGAAAGGAGGCAAGCAGTTGCCTAAACTCCCTTTTACCTAATCTGGGGGTTGTGACACTCAATATCACTTCCTGCCTAGGGTGGCTGGTCAACTTTCTGCTTTTCTCTTTGCAGCAAAAATTATTGCTCACTTAGAAAAAAATCATTACAGCAGCATTATGAAATTGACATGAAAAATGAACTAGATATTAAATTGCTTCAGCTGCAAAGAAAAAATAAGCAACATTTCCACACCACCTCCATCACCCTAAACAAGGACTGGTTAAAGATCCTCAGGCATGTCATAGCCAACCACTGCTTCCATTGGATGGAGAAGTGGAAAGAGCAACATTTAAAGGGACATTACTCCCAGCACATCTTAACAGAACTTTGCCAGACCATACCAGAAGGTTGACGCTGCATTCCATTTTAATACAAAATGAAATACCCTACAAATCATGGCTGTTAAAAATGGGGGGGGGGGGAGAAGGCACTGGGATGTTTAGTCAAAGTCAGCATCTGGATTCTCCATAAAGATGCTGTGAACAAATGAAGACCCTTCCAAGCTAAACAGCTGGTGTAAAAGCAACCACGGAGGATGTGTGCTTTTGTGACTTGCAGCATGCCCTCACAGCACTGAAAAAAAATGTGCAGGTCGTGTTCCTTTCTTGGGAAGTACATAATGACCTTCATCGTGGCCATGCTTTGTCATGCCCAAAGTGTTCAGCCTGCCAATTTGGATCCTTTTCTCAAGCCCTTCTCTCTGTACCCTCAACTGAAGAAGTGTAGTTGTAGAGATCAGTTTTTTGTGTTTTCCCCCCAGTGATGGCGTCTTGCCTTTGGAATTCCCTCCCCCTTGAGGTCGCTTTGCACCTGCTTTCCCCTAGGCTCCTGGCCCAAACATTTCTCTTTGACCAGGCTCTGTAATTAAGGGGTTCTGTTTTTTGGCTGTTTTGTGGTCTGCTCCTAGCCCCAGGACTGCCTTATCAATATCATTTTTGATGGCTCCATGTTATGATCTTTATGCCCTCTGTTGCTTTTACTGGCATGATTTTTATCGATCTTGTTTGGCAGAATTGGTTTTTGTTGGCTGCTTTGTCTTGTACGTCACTTCAAGCAGGTCTGGAGAGATGGCATATATGTTTTATAAAATAATTGAGTAGTGGGTGCCAAAGTTCTAAAATGCACTGCTTTTTTAAGTAAGAGGGTGAGGTTTGAGGAGGGGTGGGACCTCAGACAGGTACACTGCCATAGACTCCACCCTCCAAACCAGTCAGTCTCACATAGGGAACCATTGTTGCCAATCTCCAGGTGAGGGCTGGAGAGCACTCAGTATTACAACTGCTCTGCAGAAGGGAGGGCAGAAGTCAGCTGAAGTCAAAGGGGCAGATAATGGTAGGTTGGTGGCTAGCTGGGAAGGAGATGGGGTTGCCAACTACATGCTGACAAATTCCTGGGGATTTGAGGGGTGGAGCCTGGAGAGGGTGGGGTTTGCAGAGGGGTGGGACCTCAGACAGGTAGAATGCCATAGACTACACCCTCCAAACCAGCCACTTTGTCCTGGGTAACAATTGCTGCCAATCTCCAGGTGAGGGCTACAGATCACTCACAATTACAACTGCTCTTCAGGTAGCAGAGATCAGTTCCTCTGGAGAAAACAGTGGACTCTGTCATTATACCCTGCTGAGGTCACCACAGCAAATTGACACTGTTTGCCCAAAGCCAGAGCACTCCCCCAGAGCCTCTTTCTAGATCCCGTTGTATTGCTTTCACAACGGGCTTTACTGCTAGTATGTTTTATAAATAAACAAATACTTACAATTTGCATGACATGGGTTTCTTGCAGTTTTAAGTTTGCACAATGATTTCTATGTTTCTTGTCTTTCTCTAATTCCTGGTAGACTCGATCCGCTTCTATCATTTTACGAAGTGTCTCTTTAGCCTCCTCTTTCTCCTGTTTTTCTTTTTCTTCTTTCTTTTTCATCTGTAAATAACACAATCCATTGTAAATCCTAAGGCTGTAAACCTAAAACTAGTTTACTGTGCCTGTGTAGAAACAAACAGGGGGCTCCAACGTGGCCCAATTAAAAAAAAAAGTACTACTTAGATATCTTCAACATCCCACTCCTAAATACCAAGTTTGAAGGAACTGCCTTTCAGGCAAGTTGCTTATGATGATAGTATTATTTTGCTGTAATTGAAACCTATTATGAGTGATCAATTGGTAAGAAAGGTACAAATGACAAAAGGAACAAAAAAGTAACTGCATTTTTTTTCTTACCACACTAATTCTGTGTTCTGTGATTGATTTCAAATCAGCTTTGTTCTTTTCAACTTTTTCTGCGAGCTCTTTCTCACGCTCCGCTTCCATCTCTCGGACTTCCCTAGCAATACGCTCATCTTCATCATCAGTCTTCTGTTTCATCCGTGCCAAGAGGCGGTTAGTAATATTTTCTCTGGTTACCTCTATTTCTCTGAAAAAGTACAATTTGTATAGTGATTCCTCTCTGTGCTTTAAGGAGGTCTGAGGCAAGCCTTGGAAAACTGAGGCACCACACGGATACAACCACTGCACAACGAACGATGCTTTATTCAGAAGTGACCTCCCCCCCCCCTTTGCCAATATATGGGCACTGGCATCTTCCTGGAAGAGGAAGCCAGGGTGCCAGAACTCTCTGACAAAGCCTGCCCTACATATGCAGGGACATTCCTGAAGGCACATCCTCATCCTTGAGCTCTGACTGACGGGGCAAAGGGAATGCCAAGATGGAAGGCAATGTTATAAACCAAGCTATCCCATATTGACAAGGAAAACGCCTTCCTGTTATTCTGGTCAATAAAGGGTGTGTCTCCAAAAATAAGACCAAAGTGTGCTTCCAGTTTTAATCCAGAAAATCTGAGTCCCAAGTGTCAAGAGTTTGTGAAATAAAAGAACTGGTATAATAGATAGATGACACGGGAAGAAACTCTATTGAAACCTAATTATGCAAGCTTGGAACTGAGACATTTATATTTGCTCAAAATCATTCATTCATCATGTAGAGCCAGGTAGAGATTTGCCAGGTAGAGATTTGCATGATGGAGGAGCAGGCATGCCTTTTTCTCTCCCTCCAGAATGTAAGTCATGTCAATAATGATCCAGGTGCTCCATGTGGATGCCCAGCTGTGAGGATGCCACATTTGTAGAAGACATGCATGAACTGAGCACCTGTGATACGTCTGATATTATCTGTTCTGTAACCCTTGTCAAGCAGTCCTGAGAAGGACTGTTTGATTGGTTGATTGTTTGAATATGTGTAGTGTAGCCAGGAGATCCTACAATTGTCTGGCAGCCAGAAGTTCTAGCTCTTTAGCGTTATCCAGGGTGCAATAAAATAGTTCATTAAAAATAAATAGTTGCTCTTAGTGATATTGCCAATTGTAGATGTGTATGTACAAGAACTAAGAATTCTGGAAAACATTGTAATTTTTAATTTGGGTGCTGGATTGAACATATTGGCTATTCTGCTTACCTGAGCATTTCTTCCTCTTTTTGTTTTCTCAGCCTTGTCATAGCTCGCTTTGCATGAAAATGTGCTCGAATTTTATCATCTTCTTCTTCTTGTTTTTGTTTTTCTATAGCTTTTAGAATAACTTGGTCAGCAACATGGGCCTTTAAAAAAAAAACACACACACACCGAAAACAAATTTTACTTACCCAAATACGTGCATAAACTCTCAAGAGCATTTATGTTGACTCGGTATAAAGGAGTGAAAGATAACAGTTAGTCAAATGGAGGCTGGTGAATAAGTTGGGGCGGAAGAGGGGGCCCAGGTGGGAGGGGCCTTTTCTTGAGCTCCAGGCCTAAATGCAGCAAGTCACGCTACTTCCTCTAAGCCCAGGATTTCTGGATCCCATGATCGGTTTGGTGCTGAAGGGAGGCTTCTGCTGGGCAGAAGGGAAGCGAGTGCTGACTTTCCAGACCTAGACAGCCAAGGGACAGCCAAGGACTGTGTGCTGTTCTCTGCTGCCAGAGTTTCCCCCTTGAAGCAAGAGAAAAGCATACATGCCTATGCAATCCTTGGCCCGTAACAGTTACAAGAGAGCGCATATGTGCGAGAGGGCCTTGCAGTATACACGAATGGGGAACAGTTTTTAGATTTGCTCAGATCAGACGGCATCTTCAACAATGGCCCGTTTGACACTGCACTGTGCTGCACTGCACGGGTTGATCCTTCCAATACCAACTCTAACCTTTGAGGTAGTAAGGATCATCACAATCTGTGTGTGGCTTGCACATACTAAATCTGCACATGCAACAGGCCCCCCACACACACACACACTGTGTCTGGAGGCAGCCCTCTCTCTCTGTCGCTAGCAAATCCTTATACCTAGCAGCCAAGAACTGAACCTGTGCTAAGAAAACATTCACAAAATGGTAATTCAATATCTGCCTGGAAGAGGAACAAGAAGAGGGGAGCGGAGCAGAGGCCAGTGGAAGGGCGTGAGGATAAACGAAGCTAGGGCGGGAGGAGGGGAGGAGTAGAGGCCAGAGGGGTGGATGCAACGAGGAGGGGAGGAAACAGAGCATCAGCGGGTGGGAAAATGGAGCCAGTACCAATGGGGGGAGGGCCTTGCAGTATACACGAATGGGGAACAGTTTTTAGATTTGCTCAGATCAGACGGCATCTTCAACAATGGCCCGTTTGACACTGCACTGTGCTGCACTGCACGGGTTGATCCTTCCAATACCAACTCTAACCTTTGAGGTAGTAAGGATCATCACAATCTGTGTGTGGCTTGCACATACTAAATCTGCACATGCAACAGGCCCCCCACACACACACACACTGTGTCTGGAGGCAGCCCTCTCTCTCTGTCGCTAGCAAATCCTTATACCTAGCAGCCAAGAACTGAACCTGTGCTAAGAAAACATTCACAAAATGGTAATTCAATATCTGCCTGGAAGAGGAACAAGAAGAGGGGGGCGGAGCAGAGGCCAGTGGAAGGGCGTGAGGATAAACGAAGCTAGGGCGGGAGGAGGGGAGGAGTAGAGGCCAGAGGGGTGGATGCAACGAGGAGGGGAGGAAACAGAGCATCAGAGGGTGGGAAAATGGAGCCAGTACCAATGGGGGGAGGGCCTTGCAGTATACACGAATGGGGAACAGTTGGTAGAGTTGCTAAGATCCGTTGCCATCTTCAACAATGGCCCGTTTGACAGCCAAGGGACAGCCAAGGACTGTGTGCTGTTCTCTGCTGCCAGAGTTTCCCCCTTGAAGCAAGAGAAAAGCATACATGCCTATGCAATCCTTGGCCCGTAACAGTTACAAGAGAACGCATATGTGCGAGAGGGCCTTGCAGTATACACGAATGGGGAACAGTTTTTAGATTTGCTCAGATCAGACGGCATCTTCAACAATGGCCCGTTTGACACTGCACTGTGCTGCACTGCACGGGTTGATCCTTCCAATACCAACTCTAACCTTTGAGGTAGTAAGGATCATCACAATCTGTGTGTGGCTTGCACATACTAAATCTGCACATGCAACAGGCCCCCCACACACACACACACTGTGTCTGGAGGCAGCCCTCTCTCTCTGTCGCTAGCAAATCCTTATACCTAGCAGCCAAGAACTGAACCTGTGCTAAGAAAACATTCACAAAATGGTAATTCAATATCTGCCTGGAAGAGGAACAAGAAGAGGGGGGCGGAGCAGAGGCCAGTGGAAGGGCGTGAGGATAAACGAAGCTAGGGCGGGAGGAGGGGAGGAGTAGAGGCCAGAGGGGTGGATGCAACGAGGAGGGGAGGAAACAGAGCATCAGAGGGTGGGAAAATGGAGCCAGTACCAATGGGGGGGGAAACAGAGTCAGTGGAAGGAGGAGGCTAGGAGGGAGAGGACTGAAATCTCCTTTCCCCTTTAAGCGCCCCTCCCCAGCTCATTTCTACACAGGCACAGTATATACTGTACTATTTCTTTCATAAGCACAAGAAATCGCTCTGGGAGAACTCCACAGCCAACTCACAGCAACCCTGTAGGGTTTTCAAGGCAAAAGATGTTCAGAGGTGGCTTGCCGTTGCCTGCCTCTGCATCCTGACCCTGGATTGCCTTGGTGGTCTCCCATTCAAATATTAACCAGGGCTGGCCCTGCTTAGCCTCTGAGATCTGATGTGACTAGGCTAGCCTGGGCCATTCAGGACAGCATCTCCCCCCCCCCCCCCCCCCGCGGAGCAAATCTCTTTGAAACTGCCAGGAGAATCTCCTTGTTCACCACCTCTCGTTATTAAGGACTCAAAAGCAGCTCTAGGTCCAAATCTGGCTAGTAGCTTTCGGTGACATACCTGGTGTGCCTGTTTACGCTCCAGCTTCTCCTCCAGCTGCTTCTGCTCTTTTTCCTGCAGTTCCCGGTGATGTAACCTGGTCAGCGCCTGAATCTCTTCCCCTTCTTTTATGCTTTCTAGTCTGCTCAGCTCTGCTAAGCGTTCATTCTCTTTTATCCTAAAACAGGCAATAAGACAAATGTGAGGAGTAAGTACAGATTAGCAATTTCTAAGGTTCCTCTTCGATGCATGGAAATTTTGAATTAAAGACAGGAAGCAGAAGGTATAGATAGGAACTCTCGGTCTGGGACAAGTGATGCTCTGTATTCTTGGTGCTGGGGGGGCGGGGAGCAACAGTGGGAGGGCTTCTAGTGTCCCTGGCCCCACTGGTGGACCTCCTGATGGCACCTGGTGTTTTTGGCCACTATGTGACAGAGTGTTGGACTGGATGGGGCACTGGCCCGATCCAACACTGGCTTCTCTTATGTTCTTATGTTAGCCTAAAACAGAACAGGGTTCCAGTGGCACCTTAAACACTAACCAAAGGTAGTCCAGTTCTTGATTTAAGGGGCGAAATTTTTTGCCCAATAATTTGTTTTATAATTAGCAGTGTATCACTAAGTACATATACTCAGAGCCAACTAGATAAAGAAGGGAAGGCAGCATTGCATAGCCTGATCTTGTCAGATCTTGGAAACTAAGCAGGATCGGTACTTGGATGGGAGACCACCGGTTTCTCATTTCCCTTGAAACACCCTTGCTGGGCTCGCCTCCGACTTGCACTTCCATATGTCAGCTGGATAATAGAAGATCTGAGTTTTAAACTGTAAATTGTGCCCTGTGGGGCCCTGATTTGGATTGGGGCTACTGCATGGAGGAGGAATGGAACCTTTTCTTACATATAGTTTTAATAATCTGAGTCCCTCCTTAGGTAGCTATTTTCCATAGGGGTGGGGACTACAGATGTCTGTCTTTGGTACCTGTATGTTCCCCCCTGCTGGAGCAATTAAAATTGTGAAAACATGCAAAGAGGGGGGAAAGTCTAAACACCCTGCATCGTTAACACAATAATCTACAATTAAAGCTTATACACAACAGCAGAAGATCTCTTGTTGTATCTCACCCTCAGAAGTAAGGCCCGTTATATTTAACAAGGCCTCCTCTCAAGTAAGCGTGCAACAGGATTGCAGCCTACTATTGTCTTTCCACGAACACTTATCTGGGAGTAAGGCCCACAGAAGAGACCTAGATGGATGCACCTGGGGCTGCTCTCTAAGCGTACTTTAAAAAGAGTTTTTCTAATTATTATTACTGTTCCAGTTGATCCTTGCTAAGCTGCATTCGCTTCATACGGCATTCTTTAACCTTTTCCTCCTCTTTTAGTATGGCTTTTTGACGTTCACGTTCTCTTTCTTCATCCTTACTCTGGTACAATTTTTGTTTTTGCTTCTGAAATTTAATCTGAACTTCCCTTTCTTTTAAGACTTCGGTAAGTAAGAGGGCTTTCTGCAAAATAAAATTGGAAAATGTTTTTCTTCTTTCCTTGAATACACACACACACAAAAAGAAATGAAAAATATATAATAAATCATCTACATTACATGGAATCCTTTCACTCTCTCACTTTGATAATACTGATCAATTTTGGCTTTTTCAATGGCTTCTTTTCGCTTCTGTGCCTGGTACTTTGCTTCTTCCAGGTCAATTTTCCTTTTTTCTTCCTCATTCTTCTGTTCACACTCTTTTTTGGCTTTCAGTTTCGCCTGTGCCAAACCCTGGAATACAAAGAAATCTCATCCCAATTAGGAATAGCGTTAGAAGTGAAATGGTTCAAAAATGGCATTTTTAAAGAGCTATGCCAGCAATCTGAAGGTAGGATAAGCTTTTCTTTGGTCCACTGAAGGGTTCCTGTCTCAAGTAAAGAACACCAGGATGGCACGGACACTCCACAGCTACATTGATTAAAGTCTTGCCATAGATGCCAGTGATGAGATTCAATCAAACTGCAAACTATTTATTCTGTTGTTCACTATTACTATATCTAATAGTAAAACAGTACATCTATTGTGGCAATCATAAAAACAGCAAAACCAGACTACCTATAGAGAGGGTAGCAATTACATTCTCGTGGAACCTCACTTTTATTATTCAACCAAAAAGGGGGGGGGGGTGGGACTGAAGACTGTGCATGCTTTAGGGAGCACAAAATACTAACAATGCAACCCTAAAAAGATCTACAAACCTCTAAAGCCAATTAAGTCAATGGGCTTATAAGGGCCTAACTTCATTTAGGATTGCACTGTAGGAGTAGTTGAATGTCAGTTATGGTGGATGTGAGTGAAGGGGGGAGGGGTCTGCTCAAACCAGTGAAAGCAAACAGAATCTTGGAGGCAGGAATTCTGGGTGGTGGTTGGGAATTTCTATAGTCTTTATTCTTCCCCTTCTAAATTGTTCCTCACAGGCTTCTAGCTTGTTAACTGCTAATAGCAAGATGATGGTTCAGTGACTATCAGTAGGGCAGTAGCAGAAAAGAGAAGTATTTAAAAAAAGGGGGATTGGATGGGGGGGCGGGGGAGAAAATGGCCTTCTCAGACGCACAACCGCATAGTGTATTGCAGGGGAAGGACTGGGTTGGGGGAACATTTCCCAGCCATTGATTCTTTGCAGGTTCCAAGCTTGTTACAGGTATAATAAAACAATCTGTTTGCTTCTCTTCCCGTTCTCCTTTTTCATGCTACACAAACTACAGATTTCTACTACAACATCTGACGTAGTTGCTTACCAGGAGAACACGAGGACAGCAAAACAAAAGGGTTTCTTTTCTGTTATCTTATTCTTCCCACTAACTTTCTTGCATTACTCGTTATAATACTATGCTACGGTGTCTGGTCTACAGTGGTAAACGTTCAGTCAGTCAGTCAGTCAGTCATAAACTATATAGGATCCTTGGTGTGCTTTGGATTCTGGTAACATTTAGTCTTCACTTCAATGATCTGAGTGCAAATGCACACAGCCTTTGAAATGTGTGATGAATGTAGATGTACAGAAGTCAGAACAGGGCCAATCAGTATTATCACCCCTATACTGCAAAAGGGGAGGATGGGCTGAAGTTGATACAGCTGGGCTGGCCTAGTGGCCATTTAGTTAGTTAACTAAGTGAGATCTAAACCTTGGACTGGCCATCCTCCGTGTTGCACTGGATCTGCTAACAAGAGCATCCACACATATATTTACAGTGGATACTGGACACTGCATTCTCGTTGCACTCTGGCAATAGCTGGCCACTGGATTTTCCAGTGGAAAAGGCAGTGCAGTTGCAAATGACAGCTACAGTGCAATAAGAACGTACGAGACTGCCTCTCCCCATATGAGTCCCGGAGGGCACTGAGGTCCACAAACCAACATCTTTGAGTGGTCCCCAACCCCAGGGACATCCAATTAGCCTGGGCCAGGGCCAGGGTCTTTTCGGCCCTGGCCCCTGCCTGGTGGAATGAGCTCCCCTAATGAGATCAGGGCCCTGTGGGACTTATTGCAGTTCCGCAGGGCCTGCAAGATGGAGCTCTTCCACCTGGCATTTGGTTGAGGCAGTGGATACCCACTCCCCACTTTTTTGGCCAATCATCCATCAGTGGCCTGGTCCTGAGTCTGGATATCTGATTAGATATCGGACTGATTTAAAATCTGATCTCTCTAAGCCCGTTCGGGGAGGTCGGTATATAAATCTAAATAAATAAATAAATAAATAAAATAATATCCAGGGATGTGTGGGTCATGCAACCAATTCTTGCTACACTGAAACCTGCTTTTTGACTGACAAAGCTTTCAGTCTACTAAACTGGAAGATAAACTTGAGACCCCCGTATGTTCCCCCAAGAGCTTTCAGTCTACTAAACTGGAAGATAAACTTGAGACCCCCGTATGTTCCCCCAAGAGCACTACGGTCTGGGGCCCAAAATTTGTTAACTATTCCAGGCCCCAGAGACGCAAAATTGGCCGCCACGAGGGCCAGGGCTTTTTTGGTGGTGGCCCCTACCTGGTGGAACGAGCTCCCAGGGGAGATCCGGGCCCTGCGGGATTTGATGCAGTTCCGCAGGGCCTGCAAGACAGAGCTCTTCCACCAGGCTTTTGAGTAGGGGCCGCCCCCCCCCACTATATTGCCATCGAGGGGGTGGAAGAGGCCCAGAGAAGGAACATCTGAACATTGAAGCCATTGACTGTCTACCAGGAACTTTTCCGTCATCTTTGGGTTTTGAAGTTTTGAAGACCACTGAGCACTTTACTTGAATTAGGATTGGTTTTAAACTGTATAGTATGTTTTTAAAACTATAGGTATATTATGTTTTATTGTAGCAAGATATTCTTGCCTTGTAAGCCGCCCTGAGCCCTACGGGGGAGGGCGGGGTATAAATGTGATAAATAAATAAATAAATAAATAAAAGATACAAAAATATTCTGAAGTTTGAGAAATAATCCCTAGGCACTGACATGCACAAATTGCTCTTACTGCAATAGTGTTGGTCCAGTTTTTCACAAGAGCTTGAGACTGCAAGTGCAAATCCTTCCGTTCTTTCCTTTCGGCACGAATCCGTGCTGCTTCTCTCGCTGGAGCATTGAGGTTGTCTTGAATCCTTTCCCATTCTGCCTTAGACAGTATAGTTATCTGGCGAAGATCTACTCCCACTGGGAGAAATATTCCCTCCATAACTTCATCTTTATTTTCTACATAACAACAAAAAAGACGTTATTTCTTTCTATGCATAACTCTCCTTAGGACCAGAAAACCAGTATTTTAAAATCCACATGATATATTAACCTTGGCAAGTTGTATATGCATTTGATTATATTCTCCAAAAAACAACAGTCATTGTGTCAAGGATATCCCTAGAACTTCATAGATGTCAGGATAATAAGTGCTGAAATGAAGCTAAGACTTTCCGAAAGGGAGCCAGGCCCATAGTGGGCTGGAGGAAATTATTAGACATTAGAGAAACATCTGTTCATTTTTGGGCAACTGGGTGTCTTGGGTATTTTATTTTTGGGCAACTGGGTGTGCTGTTTGTTCACATTGTTTTTCACAGACCCCTGCATACAAATAATGCCTAGCGTGGATCCAGTTTTTGAATCTGAAGAAGCAACTGGGAGGAGGAACCATTCCAGCTGGTCCATAAGCAGGAGTTTTGAAGGTGTCCTTGCCTGCCTCGTCACAAAGAGGAAGGCACTCTAAGGCACCCTCCACCTTTCAAAATCCCAGTCCACATGGAGCTGATTTATTTATTTATTTAACTTTATATCCCGCCCTACCCCACAAGCAGTCTCGGGGCAGCTTACAACATTCAGTAAAACAATCATTAATCATTCAACAATAAATAACAATTCATAAAATCAACAGTTACAGTGAAAAGTTCCTGATGGCAGCTTAACAATTTCTAATTACAGTGCCTGCTGTGCTAATGTTAGGAAAGGCACATTTCTCTTAGAGACCCGGGTCAGCTGGTGCTGGTGCCAAGTTAGTAAAGGCAGCTCCCTAAAGCAGGAAGGCAAATTGGGCAGATAAAGCGAGCGAAGCAGGGAAGACCGATGTCATTCGGACATCCGCCACCTCAGCCAAAAGCCTGGCAGAACAGCTCCATGCCATCTTTCATCTCCCCTCCACTCTATGCCATCTTTTGCCTCGGTTGCCAGCAATGTTCCCTGTAAGCTGTGGAGTCTTGTGAGCAAAAATTCTACTTTGTGAGCTACCGGCATTAAAGTTGTGAGCGAGCGATTTGGCTCCTGCATAAATTAGTTTGCTCTGGAGCCATCCTTCCTGAGCTAAGACAAAAATGTGTGAGCCGGAGGCTAAAAAACTGTGAGCTAGCTCACACTAACTCAGCTTAGAGGGAACATTGGTTGCCAGCTCTGTCTTGGGAAACTCCTGGAGATCTCTAGGTGCTACCTGGGATAGGTAGAATTTGGCAAGTCCAGGGAGCTCTGCATCTGCACAGATGTTTTGCCATACAGCACACCTTCCGAAGGTGTCATTTTGAGGGGAGGGAGCTCAGCAGGTTTTTTAGCAGGAACGTGCTACAGTTGAGTCCATCCATTCCCTACAAATCTGCCATTTTCTCCAGGGGGAACCAGTCTCTGTAGTCCAGAGATCAGTTATGACACCAGAATTCCAGGCCCCACCTGGAGATTCAACCACAAACTATAAGGAGGTACACGGCCAGAGAGGCAAACACAACCAAAACACTGTGTACAGAAACAACAGAAATAAAGAAATGTGATTTTTTTTTACTGAAAACTCAGTGCACATTGTTGATTATATACAGTGGATCAACTAAAAAAACAAATTATACAAACCTAAAGTAATCAATACCAGATATTTATTTAAAATCACCCAGTATAAAGACGAAGTACTAAATTGAGCTATTTCATACTTCGTTTTTGTACTGTGTGATTTTTTTGAATATGGTGTTGATAAGTTTGCATAATTTGTTTTGAGTGATCTGATTCACCATATATAATTAACAATAAGTACACTGAGTTTTCAGTACATTTTTTAATACATATTTCTTTATTTCGTTTGTTTCTGTACACAGTGTTTTTGTTGCGTTCTCACCTGCAGACTGGCAACTCCACGAGTCCAGGCAGGGACTTGGCCACTCTGCCTCCACCTCGCCCACCCAGCGCTGCCCCTTCGCCCACCCCGGCCCGGGAGACACTCACGCGCGGACTCCACTCTTTGCCCTCTGCGCCTCCCAAACCGTATCACGGGGCGGGCAGCCTCCGCCATCTCCGTGGCGGCGGGCCAAGGCGCAGCCTCCGGACCCCCGCGGCGTGGGCACCCTGCGCGGTCCTGGGGGTTCTGACCTTGCCTTGGGAGGTCGCGTCCTTTTGATATCAGTGTGGCGCGATAGGGAGCCGCGGTTTGTCCAGAGCCCCTTAATATGGCTTACAAGTGCCAGGGATGCCAGCCTCCAGGTGGGGCCTGGGGGATCCCCAGGAATTACGGCTCATCTCCAGAGACTAGAGAGACCAGTTCCCCTGGAGAAAATGGACGCTTTGGAGAGTGGGCTCTGGCATTTGTATCCCACTGAGGTCCCTGTCCTTCCTAGGTTCCATCCCCAAATCTCCAAGAACCTGCCAACCCTACTCCTCCATCCTGCATTGTGCAGGGGGTTGGACTAGATGACCCTGGAGGTCCCTTCCGACTCTATGATTCCATGGTGTCTCACCCTGGCAACCCTACCAAGGCAGACTTGTCTGACGAAGATATCCTGGGAAAATGTATTTGTCTTTAAGGTGCTAAGGGACTGGAATTTTGCATGATACAGAAGACGTATTCCTGGCTTTGATGGTACCCTTTGTTCTTTCCCTTACAATAGGGCTTTCTTTAATACTTATATTGAATGCAAAAGAGGGTTTTCTTTAATACCAGTATTGAATGCAAAAGAGGGATTACATAGGTAGTTGAGTTTATGCTGTTGTGTTTATGAATTTCATTTCCTTAATTTATAGCCTGTCTTTTTCTCACTGAGACTCAAAGGGGGATTATAAAATATAAATCTCTTTGTTACGGGGGGTATTCTGAAATGATGTCCACTAAAAATCCTAATACAGACTTACCTGTATATAATCACATCCTTTCTTCAAGAAGTTAAGAGTGATATGTGTGGTCTTTCCATATTTATGCTCACAACAACTTTCTAAGGTAGGTGAGGCCAAGAGAGAGCAGGCCTGTAGCTATGGTGGGTTCTCCTGCCACCCACTGACTTCCTGCCAAGGCCCCCTGACTTCCTATCCAGCCTGCAACCCCCCCCCTCTCTGG